CCTCTATCTAACTGTCCTCTTCTGAAATACCAGTAGGGGGCCCCATGAGATGCCCCTGGTACTTTTGTCATAGGCTTTTTTGAGTTTGGGCAAGGACACAGGGGCCCCATGATCCCCTATTGCCCGGGGGCCCCATGAGTTGTCAGTCCGCCCCTGGACAAAATCCTCTATCAATCTAAGAGTTGTACTGTTTCACTGAGGTCTTCTTTTCCATTGGGCCAAGTGGGCTAGTTTATGTTCCCCTGATGAACTGGCTGATTTACAGGTATTTCCAAATGGGGTAAGAGACGAGTTTTTTTGTTACTCGTTTTTAATTTGTGTTCTAATTCCCAGTTGTGAAAAAAAGTCTTCAAAGTTGGGGAAGCCCTAGTTGTTCTACCAACGTTAGAAGTTTGAAGGTTAAATTTAAGGAGGAAATTGAGGATTGCCTTGTATGGGTAGTAGGGTTTGGATTGAGGCTAGTGTAATTCTTCCATTCAATCTGTCCCTTATCGTCAAAGAGTGGGAGTGATGGGCTCAGTACTGGAGATCTCATTTTTAGGGGGGGCCTCAACGGTCATAAAAATGAGTGCACATCATTTTGAGGTGCACATGGTGAAATTGTAAATTGTGGCTGAGCTGCATGGTAAAAAGGCAAGCAGTGGAAAATGCAGAAATATCTAAGTATAAAATATTTTTTTTTTTGTAAAAATGCGGAGCATTCCCCAGAAAATCCCAGAAAATCTAGAATCCATGGCTGGAATCATCTATGTCCTCTTACTTGGAGGTGTCCTTTTTCAAATATAATTTCTAAGGGTACTGTTTCTATACACTTCTTCGGTTCTGCTATGAGCTTGTGTATGTTTGCATGGATGTTGTTGTCATGTTTGTTCTTTATGTTTGTTTTCCTTGCGACTGTGGTCGCACCATGTAATTACTTGAACCCCAGTGCTTCTTCTCTACTGTCTTTTTGAAAACAATTTATATAAACATTGAAAAAATAAGTCAAATGGTAATTTGGAGGCATTCTGATGAACTGAATGTGTAGAGAGTTTGTTTTGGAATGCAAAGGTTCTGGCTGGTTTCATGAAATTGTTGTTTACAAGTGGAATCAGGCGAGGTGAAAATGACAAAATCTTAGAGAGTTAATTTTTAAGTCTAAGATTCTGCTAACCCAAAATGGTGGGTTATTTATCCAACTGATGATGTTGGCAGCAAGGTGTTTAAAAATACGGGAAGAAATAGCCATATACAAAGTGAAGTGGACTTAAAGTGGACAATGTTAAATGATTTCTCAGGTAAGAATGGGGTTTCTAAACAAAGGGCCAGTTTACTGTCTTTCAGACTCTAGAAGGACCAAACTAATGCAGGCCATAGACGGGGGAGAAAACTGGCCGTTTTTTTTTTTTTTTAAAACGAAAAATCGGTTGTTCAATCAGCCGACATTACCACTATTGGGGAAAAAAATGCTAATTTTCGTCCTGTCTACGGCCGGCAATTATATAGAATATATGCAGAAGAAGAAGAAATAGAATATGCAGAAGCAGAAGAAATAGAATATGAAGAAGAAATAGAATATGAAGAAGAAGAAATAGAATATGCAGAAGAAGAAATAGAATACGCAGAAGAGGAAGAAATAGAATATGAAGAAAAAGAAGATGAAATTGAATATGAAGAAGAAGAAGAAATAGAATACGAATAAAAAGAAGAAATAGAATATGCAGAAGAAGAAGAAATAGAATATGAAGTAGAAATCGAATATGAAGAAGAAGAAATAGAATATAAATAAAAAGATGAAATAGAATATGCAGAAGTAAGAAATCGAATATGAAGAAGAAATCGAATATGAAGAAGAAGAAGAAATCGAATATGCAGAAGAAGAAGAAATAGAATATGCAGAAGAAGAAGAAATCGAATATGAAGAAGAAGAAGAAATAAAATACGAATAAAAAGAAGAAATAGAATATGCAGAAGAAGAAATAGAATATGAAGAAGAAATAGAATATGAAGAAAGAAGAGAAGAAGAAATAGAATACGAATAAAAAGATAAAATAGAATATGCAGAAGAAGAAAAGGTGCAACATTGTATCTATTTGTATCCATGTCGGATACAGATGTTTCTATTCGGATACAAATAGATACAATGTTGCTATACTTTTAATGTCAAATATAATACTGAAATTCTTTTTTTTTCTTCTTCATATTCTATTTCTTCTTTTCCTTATTCTTCTTCATATTCTATTTCTTCTTCTCCTTCATATTCTATTTTTTTTTCCTTTTCTTCGTTTCCTTCTTCTTTCAGGTCACTGCTCATACGCATTTTTAAATGTCGGAAAAAGATTGGCAAATTTGTCCATCATTGCCGTGAAAATCGGCAGAACGACAAATTTGGCCGATTATTTTCCAGCAGGACTGATAATCTAAAAGGTCAAAAATCCCAAAAAACGGCCGACCGATTACCGCACTAATGATCCGAAAATCGGCCAATTTTTTTTTTCGGCCAATTTTCAGTCATTTTTCATCTCATCTATGGCCCGCATAAGGCCAGTGGAAGTACAAAATGCCTCTAGCTTGGTGGTCAGTGGGAGTAATAAAAGCTCCTGTGGTAAGTAACAGGAGGAATAAGGCCACATCATTTGTGGGAGAAATAGTGCCCCATCATGGATGTCAGTAGGAGGAATAATGCCCCATTGTTGGAGTCAGTGGAAGGAATCATGCCCCATCATTGGTGTAGGTGGGAGACAGTGTCCTCCATTGTTGGAGTCAGTGGAAGGAATCATGCCCCATCATTGGTGTAGGTGGGAGACAGTGTCCTCCATTGTTGGAGTCAGTGGAAGGAATCATGCCCCATCATTGGTGTTGGGGTCAGGAAGTGTTCCAAAATGTATCAGTGGAAGAAAGTATGCCCCATCGTTGATGACAGTGAAAGAAATAGGGCCCCCGTTACTGGTATCAATGGGAGGAATAATGCCCCTTCATTGGTATCAGTGAGAGGAATAGTACTCCATCATTGGTGTCAGTGAATAATGCCTTGTATCAATTTGAAGAATAGTGCCCCAAAGGTCGGATAAAGGCAAAGGGCCGCAGCTTGGAGTCCACTAGTTTAGACAGGTGTTTCTCAGCCTTTTTTCGGTCAAGGCACCCTTTAAAATCCTGCACAATCTCAAGGCACCCTTTAAAATCCTGCACAATCTCAAGGCAACCTTTAAAATCCTGCACAATCTCAAGGCAACCTTTAAAATCCTGCACAATCTCAAGGCAACCTTTAAAATTCAGCACAATCTTGAGGCATTACATTACAAAATGTAAAACACTAAATGAATAGTTTTACAGAATGCAGCAACATCTCCACATGTGGGACACCCAAAGCCAGAGGTGATTTATGCTTTCAAAGCAAATACACCTTTTTACAATGGTACTGACTAGTATTCCATTGTTTCTTTTCTTCCTCTGTTTCTCTCCCTCATTCAGCTAATATAACCCCAGTGTTAATGGATAGAGGCAGGGGAGAGGCAAGCAAGGATGCTGTGCAGGTGCCCAATGTCCTTATCAACTGATGACATTTTTTATGTTGTTGGCGGCTAAAAAGTTGTATTTGTGTACAATAAAAACCTGTGGCTATGTGTAACTAAAAGGCAAGCTTGATCCTCCTGCTGGCTTGTATACATTTTTTAGCATTTGGTCAAAGCACCCCTAAAGAAACCTCAAGGCACCCCACACCTTGGTTGAAAAAGGCTAGTTTAGAGCTTTGTTTCTAAACTTTTTTACCCCAGAGGAACCCTTGAAATAAGAGCAAGAATGTCCCCTTACAGCTGTGGTAAGAAAGCCACCCTTACAGGCAGCTTAAAAAGAGTATTGGTGTAATGGCACTGGCTCTGCTGACCTGTGTTGGCCCTCAAACTAGGAAGGCAGCATCAGATGGAAGGTCAATTAGTGACAGCACGAAGAAACCCCCAGCAACCTCTGGAGGAACCCTACAGTTCCAGGAAACCCTGGTTGAGAATGTCAGGTTTTAGAGTGTCCACACAGCACAATTGTGGATCATTTTAGACATATCGATGGGGTGAGGATCTGGAATTGTCCAGATGCACCTGTTATCAAACACTGAGAATTCCTGACTCATTGGGGAGTAAGCATTTTATGTTCCTTCCATTTTCTATGGACACAAAGGAAGGAGGACATCAGCTGTGTGTGAGCCAATGATATTGGATGGAGAGACAAGTATTTTATGGTAGGTTTTGGAATGGTGGAGGGTAGGTAGGCATCTCTCTCCACCTCCCTCTCTCAATAAAACATCCAAGCATCTTATCTCAGTCAACTGTATGTTCCTCCTGAATGGTGTAGTTATTGGCGAATGTTCAAGCACCACTTTGTCAGCTTTAAAGATAAACAAAATATTATCATATGTTGTTGTACATTAAGAAAACTAATAATGGCTGCAAATAAAATAGTGCCTTTGCGGGGTATTAGCAGCTGCAGCTGTTAACAGTCTGTGAAATTTGCCTGTTCATTTCCCGGCCCTCTGGACATCTCCTGGCTCAGGCCGCCATGATTCACATGGCACGCAAAGTCTCCTTCAGCCTGACTTTGACAGCGGAGTTATTTGTGGACCTTTTATAGAAGGAAGCAGCACTGCCAGGAGAATCGTCCAGGAAACATGCAGCAGATGGTGGCTTGGTAACACGATCCCCTCCTCCAGAACTCTGAAGAATGGACTTCAAAGGGCATGTTGTAATAAGGAAGGATAACATTCTGCAGCCACAAGACTGGACCAGCCGCTAAGGACCGCCAGCCTGCCCCCAGCAGAAGGAAAGGTGGGGGAGACTCCTGACATGGCAGTGTGATCGCAATGTGGTCAACAATATAATAAAGGGCCACAAGAGGCCCTTAGAGGCTTGAAGTAGATCTAAACCCTAACCGGATTTAGCTTGCTCTGCGCACTGTAAACAATAAACAATTGCCTTTTTTTTTTATAAAATCCTTACTATCACTTTTTTCGTCCTTTGTTACATCTCAGTGCTGCTGATCTTCAGCAGCTTCTAAAGCCACTTCCTGAATGGACTCCAGTGATGGCTAAATTGCATTTTTCAAGTTTGATTTCTTAACCTCCCTGGTGGTATTCCCGAGTGTAGCTCGGGGTAAAGTTTCAGTACCAAAAGGGGTAACCCCGAGCTACACTCGGGCTTACCATGCAGCGTTGCATAGGGAGTCCCTGCAGCACTTACCTTGTCCTTCGCTCCCGCGATGCGTCCCCTGCAGCGTCCCCGGCCGATGCCGGCATCCGGCTTCCGTGTTCCGGTCCCTGTGACGTCGGGACGTACGGGCACCGGAACCGGCGGCAAATTTGAAATTTTTTTAAAAATGTAATTTTTTCAAAAATGATTATTACATAGTAAAACATTGCTGTTTCAAAACATTTCACATACATTTTATCCCTACTGCTTTGTCCTGTCCCCTGCCTGCATTTTGACTGTTCTTTCTGCCTGGAAACTTAGAAAAGTCCATGGCGTCCAAAAAGCGTCACTTTATGTCAAAAGCGGTTTTAGACTGGCTAGAGAACAGCGATAGTAAATCAGAACCACTTGCAGAATTGAGTGATAATGATTCGTGGGGAAAATTCCTCATCAGACACTGAAAACGATTCTGCGACTTTGCTCAGCGATGTGCGAACTTGGCGCTATATTTCACATTTCAGTGTTTTTGGTTTGATTATATTATTGAATTAAATTTATTATTATATTATTATTTTTTATGATTGTTTATTAAATTATAATTTATGATTTTGTGTTTCAAGTTTTATCATATCCGGAATGTTTACTAGACTCTTGTTCGGACAGATTTCAGTGAGTTATTCCTAAATGACAGGCCTACAATAAAAAAAATACATATTTCCATGCAAAAAAATGGTACCGCTTTCAGCACCAAAAATCTGAAATAATCATACCGCCAGGGAGGTTAATGTTGTGGACCATGCTTGTTTAATGTAGTTTTAAATAGGCGCTTGTATTTGTCTCCATCCGAAGCCCACGTGGGCCTAAGATGGCGGATCACACAGAAATGAATGGCACAGCATAGTTTTTAAAAAAAGTCAAATTTTTCTATAGGGTGAAGGGGATGCTTATACAGTATATGTCACTATGAATACCACTCTGTCCTTTTATTATACCACAGCCCACTCCTGTCCCCCTATTATACCCCAACACCCTCTGTTTTTCTATTGTATCCCAATCTCTTCCTCCTTCTGTCCCTCTGTTGCACTCAACACCCCCTTCTGTCCCTCTATTGCACTCAAATTTCCCCTCTGTCTCTGTATTGCACCCCAATTATGTTTTAATTATACCCCCAGCCCCCCTCCCTCCACTGTCCTTTTATTATACCCCAGTCCCCTTCTGTCACTCTGTTGTACCCCTTCCTTCTTTTTCTATCCCTTGATTACACCCCAATCACCTCTTTTGTCCCTCTATTGTACTCAAATTATCCCTCAGAATATCCCCTCTGTCTCTATCCCTTGGTTATCCCTTAATTATATCCCAATCTTATCTTCTGTCCCTCTGTTGTGCTCAAATCCTCCCTCAAAATATCCCCCTCTGTCTCTGTATTGCACATCAAATATGTTTTGATTATACCCCAGTCTCCTACACTGTCCTTCTATTATACCACAGTCCCCCTCTGTTACTCTATTGTACCCCAACTTCTTTTTCTATCCATTGATTATACCCCAATCACCTCTGTCCCTCTATTGCACCCCTTTTGTCCCTCTGTTTACCCTAGTCCCCCCCCCCTGTCCATATACTGTACATCAATCTCTCCTCTGTCTCCATTGTACCCCCAACTGTCTTTGTCCCCCTATTGCATTCAAATATCCCCTCTGTCTCTGTATTGTACCCCAAATATGTTTTGTTTACCCCCCCCCCCACACACACACACACACACACAGTCCTTCTATAATACTCTAGTTACGCTCTGTCACTCTATTGTACCCCAACTACTTTTTCTATCCCTTGATTATACCCCAATCACCTCTTTTGTCCATCTATTGCACTCAAATTCTCCCTCTGCCCTTCTATGGTACCCCAGTCTCTTCTCTGCTTTCTATTATATCCTTGCCCTGCCTCTGTCCCTCTATTGTACCACAACCCCTCCTCTGTCCCTCTATTGTACCCCAGTCACCTCTCTATCCCTATCTCATCTATACCTGTTCCTCTTCTTGCTGTGATGTGCATGTTTAGATATAAATGTCCTATTTACCTCCCAAAAATCTTCCTATCACTTTACAGATGCCTTGGACATAAAAGGGCTTTCACAGGACTGATTACTTTCGGGGAAATGATCAGTTGGACAGATGCATAGTCCTTGTATGGTCATTATCCATCCCTGTCAGACACCCACACAAAGGTTCCTCCTAACCAAACAATTTCCTTTAGGCCTCATTCACACAGATATAAAGAAATGGCATTTGCTTCACATTCTTCAAGTTTTTCAGATACTTTTCAATGCCTGTTCTATATCATAATAGCTGCAGTTCTACTGTGCACAAAAAATCTGAAATCCAAATGTGCCTTAGATACTTATAAGGTGCTCATGAAGGTTTTTGGTAACTTTCTTCCAAAAATAAAAATTAAAAAGGCATCCCTAAAACTTTAGACAGTGGTTAAAAAAACACATTCAGTACATGTTGGAAGGCAACATTGTTCTTCAGACATTTATGGATTTTTACTGTCTGGTTATAATTTCTGCTATATCTGCGGTGAAATAACTTTTATCTCACAAAAAAAGAGGATAACAGGAATGATTAAGAAAGCCTACAACTTGTATTTTGGCTGCAAGATAGAAGACCAGGACAAGAGCTGGGCACCACATATATGCTGCAATTCTTGTGGGACGGCACTGGAGCAATGGTTGAATGGAAAAAAGGCATCTATGCCTTTCGCTGTGCCAATGATTTGGAGAGAGCCAACAGATCATGTTAGTAATTGTTACTTTTGTATGGTGCCTCCAATTGTAAAAGGGCTAAATAAGAAGAAAAAGTTATCTGTGCACTATCCAAATATTCCATCGGCAATACGTCCAGTTCCTCATGGAGAGGGGCTACCAATTCCTAAAGCACCAGAATCCTTCGTGGTTGAGTCAAGTGAGGAAGAACCTGAAGCGTGTAGTCACGTGCAGTTGTAAGAGATAGCCCTTTCCACGAATACAAGAGAAAAGCCAAGAGAAGCAAAACCGACACAAACTGAAGACAAAACTAGTGAGAATCCTAAGTATTAAAATGATTCAACTTAGCTTATGGCTATAATTTTTCTTGGTAATCCTATGCAATATATTATGCCATTTAGGCTTTGTTATGTAGTCAATATCACTTGCTTTATATTTGTGGAAAGACATCTATCTATATAATTATTGTGCATTATGTAGTCATTACGGCTATAGTAGAAAACTTTCCGTTTACAGAAAAACTAGAGCCAATTGACAAATTTCATTGTTATATTTGAACTCAGAATGTGAAATTCATTAAGAAATGGATCCTTTTGTTTCCAAAACTGGCAAAAAATAAAAATTTGTTGAACAGTGTTATCTGCTTTATTCACACAAGTTCGAGGCATTACTGAGTAGCCTATATAGGCATAAAACGAAATGTAAAGACGCTGTCGAACTACAATCAGCTACAGATACTGCAGCTTTTATGCAGTGAAGTGATGCAATTAAAGGCTAATATTGCATCATCTCAGTATACATGCAATTTTCTATTGGTCACCAGTATCAATTGCGCAATATGCAGCTGAAGTTGCATCATAATTTTGAATGGCTTACGTCATTAGATGGGTGAATATATCATGGAAACTAGAGCCAATCAACATTTTTTAGGGTCATTTTCGTTTTCAGCACCCCAAAATTATGTAAGATTAGCTAATTTTATGCCCAAAACTTTTTACCTGTTGAACAGTGTTATCAAAGGGCCATCTGGTCTTCATCTTGGAACACCAAGCAAATCAGTTGACACAGCAGGTTGTTTGTAACAAGGGGTCGCAAATGGGAATTCATCTCCCAAATGATGTTCTCGCATAGACTTCCTGGTGATTGGAAATGACAGCCCCTTATTATTTACGGATGTTAACTCATTGGACAGAGGACTTTATAGACTAGGCCAAGGGCATTGAATGGGTGTTGCTTGTGAGTGGTATACAGTAAATGTAATTGCCAGCCATGGCTTCCTCCTTTTTCTCCTTGAGCCCAGCTAGAATACAAGACACTGAGGACAGATTTATGTAACGTATCATCTCTGCTCTTTTGTTTCCATATGCTCTATGATATTAATTTAGATTTCTTTGTTAGTGTTTTACTTTCTTTGTAAATAAATATGACTTTGCTTCTTTGAGCATTGTGATTACTATTATAGCTGATATTGTAATATATTACTACCATCAATTTTGTCAGAGCTTAGATGTACTAGCAAATTATTGGGACCAACAAGATACATGATTTAATATAAGTAAGGTGAAATCCAAAAAAACCACCCCCTATTTATTTCAGTATTTAAAAAACAGCTTCAAATGCTACATGTTTTTCTTTTTAACAGCCATTTGAACCTAACCCTTTGGGGTGGCCAACAGACATTGTTTCCTGCACATGGCTTGACCACCTCAATTGCGTAGGTACACTAATGTTAGATAACTGAATCACACTTTTGGTCTAGATATATACCTTCAGGTTATAGAGACCTCAAAGTGTAAGAAGTAGTGAGGTCAGTAGTTGCCTTGGGATGTGGTGCCTTTCTCCTTGAGGGAGTATAATTTTCTGTCCATGGTTTGGTCTTTAAGTAAAAACTCTTTATAAAAATACTTCGACCTGGTTTAGTATCGCAAATGTAATGCAAACAAGTTCAACCTGTAAGTGGGGTGCAGCGCAGTAATTCAGCGACAGTTCACAACAACCCAAAGAGATGCGTGCTTAACCGTGTATACTCATAGTTTTCAACAACATGAAGATGACAGGTATCAGCTGGGTTGACAGCATCTGTTAAGATAGAGTGCAGTCTGTTCGTCTTGTGACCCATGGGGGCAGATGTCCGAAGGAGTTATGTATCTACATTTTCCCTCCTCGACAGGAACATTTCTCTATCACTAGTTCTGTCCCTAACAGGTGGGGTACCTTTCCCTACACTGCCAACTTAAATAGGCTCTGCCTGACCCAGGATGGCTGCCAGAGTCACATGAGGTGACAGAATCCAATTGGGTTCTTCCCCAGTGACCCAGGAACTCATGGAGGAACTGTGTTCCTCTTAACTCCCTCTCCAACTGCAGTGCCGCTATGGAGGAGCACTACCTGCAGTGGAGAAAGTAGACTGCACCTGCCTAAATGCCTACTGAATAATGTGGAGGCTGGATAGA